ATTTGAGAAAGTCATTATAGAAATTGTGTCTCTTAAGGTGCAAAGAAATTCAATTGTATTATTCAGTCTGTAATTTTAAAGATCTCATCATATAAAAAGATAGATTGTGCACGTTCTTCGATTGGGTATTATTCTTTTCGATTTTCTTTTAAATTCTCCGAATGTCCGTATACAGAGTAGAGATGAAATTCTAATTTAAGATCAGTCTTATATTCACTTATATTCACTGACTGATTGGATGTAAATTCCTCCAAAATCCATTCAACTAATGCTGAATTAAATTAGGATTATAATTAAATTAAGATGCAACATTTTTAAGACAGCCAATGCTGCCTTAATAATGTTGCATCTTAATTTAAAACTTTTGTCCTGACTTATGATAAGGCTTTCTTTTTATTGTGCAGTAATCACAGATGTTAAGTTTGTAGCATTTATGAACATAACTACGAATGGTATTTATAATTATTCCGTTCGATTTTTCTTCAATTGTCAGAAAATTTTTTCTTTATTTCTAGGAAAAAAATGCAGCAAAAGGTTAAAGTTATGTCGCACATTACGCTCTTTTTATGTCCTGATGTTAACCGTAGCATAAGAATACTAAGGAATCGATTGTATTTTTATGTTATGTTCAACATACGGACATAAAAAGGAGATTATTGTGGACACAACCTGATAGTAGACGGAAATACAAGTTGTGGTATTTTCAGTCGTCGGCAGTACCAATTTTTGGGTGTTTACAACAGACAGTAGTACAAATTTTAGTATTTACAACAAACAATAAATTGAAATTATGTTATTTATAACAGATATTATTTCGAATTGTGGTATGTACAACAGATGGTAGTACAATTTTTGGTCATTGTAATTTTTAATTTAATCTTTAATTTAATCTTTAATTTAATTTTTAATTTAATCTTTAATTTAATCTTTAATTCAATCTTTAATTTAATCTTTAATTTAATTTTTAATTTAATCTTTAATTTAATCTTTAATTCAATCTTTAATTTAATCTTTAATTTTCAATTTTAATTAAATTATTGATGTGTACAACAAATTTAGCCGCTAAAAAAATCCACTACTCGACCAATTTTCTCATTAAAAGAAGTTTCAACTAAAAACAATTTTTGTAAAATTGTTATTTGTCACGAATTGGAGAAAATTGTGGAAATCGACGATTGTTGGCCAATGTTCTGGGCGTCAACGGGATTTTATGTCAATGGAAATGAGTCGCTGCTTCATTCAGTCGAGTGAAAATGTTGATCGGAATGGGGATGTGCTGAAGTGCGGGCACTCTGTCAGGTTATTTACATATGAAAAGGTATTAAAGGAACATACTTTTGTCCTGATCAAATGCTATCTGAAATAGATATTATCCACTGGAAAGTACGTAAACATGTTTTTCTTTCCTCCTTCCGCTTCAATTGATAATTCAACGGAATTAGCAGGTGCACATTTTTCAACACAGATTATTTAATTCTTATTCAGACTTTAAAATAAAACAAGGAAATGTTTTTAAATTAATCTTTCATCATGTTTACATTTTGCCTCAAGAAAATGATTTAAAAGGGGAAATAAAGAAATTAATTTATTGGAATTGTACAATTTACAAAATTGTATTTTTATAATTAAAAATCGGATTAATTTATTCAAAAAGGGTTTAAGGATTCTCGAAAGTATTTAGAGTAAAGGGAGTAATTTCGAAAATGTTTTTTGCAGTACAAGAAGTTGTTGTCTGGTAATTATCTATTAAGGTCCCTAGCGGTCTGTTTAAATTTAGTTACGAACAAGGGACGATCATCTTAAATTGCAGGTCATGACAGTAAAAACTCACTGGAAAATTTATTCTCAACTCTTCACGGTGGGAATTTGTGAATTTTTCATCATCTTTCCCACCACTAGGACAAAACTTTTCTAAATTCGTTTTCAGTTTCTGTACTTGAAAAATCTTTAAATACGATTTTTTGGAACATTTCCTAATTTTAATTTTTCAGGTTTACTTTTTTAAAAATATAAAAAAGTGGAAGAGTGAAATTGACTAAAAATGATTTATAGGTGCAGAGTTTGCGTGTTCTGAATATTGTTCCAAGTACAAATACATTGACCTCGGATTTAGGGGTCATCATGCAATAGAACTGATTTAGTCTCTCCACATACATATGTATTATCTAATCTTGTGTGTAACCACAGCATGTTTGCAATTCTCCATTCATTTGAGAGCATTTTGCAGTATCCTATCTTATAAGAGCTTTCCCTCCGCTTATTAGCTTTTCCACCTTCAACTATACATATGTACATGTGCATCGCTATGTATAGATTTACATCCATCCGATGAATTTCTAAATATCATTCCATTGTCTGATTGCTAATCTGAATCTTTAGCCATATTAACATTTACATCTGAATGTGTATCATAAATATTCGAATTCTATTAAATTTACAAAGCTTGAGTGAAGAATGACACGACAAATATGGGGTAAAGTGACAATTTGAGGCATTTAACAGTAAACGTACTTAAAAATTCAGAAGGACTTTGAAAAAAGATTAGACTCTGAGGTATTAACCTCTTTGCTTCAAAACAATTTTATTTTGGTCCAAACAAATTTATTTTGGTTCAAAACAATTTTATTTTGCTTCAGAACAATTTTATTTGCTTCAAAATAAATAATTCATTATGCTCTGCGACAAATATTAATACAATTCGAATAAATAACATTTGATTGAAAGAAAAATTCCATTTGTGAAAATAGGAAAAAACGAAATAACGAAATAACGAAAAGGAAGAAAACGAAGACAATAGTAAAAAAAGAAAGGCAGCATAGTTATTAACAGAAACAAAAAAATACGAGCTAAAATTAAAAGAATAACGATTTCAAGTTGCAACTACAGTGAGAAATTATATGAAGGGTTCAAATCAACAGACACGATATGAAGTAACGAACAACAAGAGGAAAACTGAAAGAGTAGTTGTGAGAAAGTTTCTCTTTGGCAATGTCGGGAGAGAGAGAGACTGGAAAGTTTCCGTTCAAAGAATCCTCCCGATTGAGAATCAACGCCTCCCAGTTTCACATCCTCTCTCTCTCACTCTCACAACTCGGAAGTTTCCACTTTCAATTCGACTAGCAGTTTCCGGAGCAGCAGCTCAACCATATTTGCCGGACTGTTTGTTTCTGCAATTGTTAATACAATCGACAGCAGTGCACAATCAGTCGGAAAATTTCACAATTGCCCATCACGTTTAATTACTTCCTCCTTCATTTATTCTCTGAATAAAAAAATTGTTTTTCAAAAAAAAAAAAAACTCATTTCTTTTTCCTTCTTCACTTTTTTCCCTCATTATTTCTGTTCCAATAATTTCCTGGTGTTAACGTTTTTTGTTTAATCAGGGCGAGAACTAGTGACAGTATTTAAAAAACGGACTTTACGGACCAAAAATAAAAAATTACGGACCAATTACTGACAAAAATAAAAAATATTTTTTGTTTTAAGTAAATAATTACGTAAAACTAAAAATGAAATTTTTTATAACTATAAAACTGATTGAAATCTTAAAAATAGATTCACTGAAAATTAGTCAAATTTCAATGAAGCAGTTTTAGAGAGAAGACTCCTAGGAAATACACAATACTGAAAAAAGGAAGAAAAAGAAAAAGAAGAGAAAACTAAAACTTGTCCGTACAGTATGAGGGATTAAAGATAAAACATTTAAAAATAGAGGGAATCTAAAGTGGTTCCTGAAGTTTGAAAAATTTAAAACTGGAAGCGTTGAAGCTTTCTAGAAGGGTCTTTAAATTTTATGACTTCTAAAGTTGCTGCATTGAGGCTTGTAAGCTTTCCATTAGGCAACATCGCAGAGGAAATGTTATAAAATTGAAAGTTTCAAAATTTGTTCACCCGTGTATAAAAGATGTAACGTCTACATATACACTTGAAATCAGACAGGTGTCATTTAAGTTCGCAAAAAATTTTCCCACCCGCAAATAAAATCATCTTCAACATTCGAAAATCCCTCTATTGGAATTATTGTATATTAAATAATCATCTGAAAAAAATAAAATAAAAAAAATAAATAAAATAAAATTTATTAACTAAATTAAACAAACAATTATGTCCATCTTTATAAAAAGTGATTATTTTACTTTTTTTCCATACAATTCCGAATGAAATTCGAATAGTAATTAGAGTACTGGAATCCAATTAAAAGGAATGAAATTCGAACTTTCAAAGCCATGGAAGTTGTATTGCGAGCCCTATGAACTATGAGATTAAGAGCAATCAAGATCGAATGTTCGATTCAAAAACTTTTTCATTTCAATAAGACGAGGGAGCCAGGGAAAATATATATGTATATAAAATACACTCGGCTAATTTAAATTCTTAGAACTCAAAAATCACTTGCAAATAAAAACCTTTGATATATGCTTCATTTCATTTAACGATTCGAATCAGCGGTATCAAAAGAAATTACAAGCATAATAAAATTTTTATAAATATTGATGAAATCAATTAGAATTACTATATTATTATAATTTCCAGTTCCAGTCGGCTAAAAACTACCCAATTGAAACTGAAAAGTTAGTCATATCAATAACATTTATATATAAATAATTAATTATAATAATAATTAATTTTAATAATTAATAATTAATTAATAATTAATTAATAATACATTATTTTTCAAATCATTCTTTTTTTGAATTTCGCGCCAAAAAGTTCATTAAACTGTCGCCTAGATGGCATGAAAGTTCTCTCACAAGCGCTGATTCAAGGGGCTGATTTTCAAAAATAACAATGAGTAAAAAATACGTAAAGTCTCTAAGAATACCGACTGAATTAAATAAGATAAAAAATTAATTAATTAAAAAACGACATTTAGCCGAATTTTTTTTTTCGCCATAAAAAATTGAATACAATATACATAAAAGGAAATATATTAAATAAAAAAAAGGAGTTGAAATGAAATGTGAAATTAACATATAGCCATGCAAATGAAAATCACTCACCATGCTGACATCGATCGCCACCTTTGCCAAGAGGGCATTGACACCTCTGCCTCAAGGACTCTTGCTTTCGTCTCGACGTGGCGAAGTCGTTTCCTTCAAAAAGATTTTCCTCCTCTCCCTCCTCCTGCGCCGCCTCCTCGTCATTTCGTTGTTCCTCAATGTAGCAGTTGCCTCCAGGTCCACATTCCAAAGAACAAGTAGATTCGGTGCTCAAGACTCTTTCTGTCGTTGAGGGTAACTTTTGTTCCAAATTCGGACCCTGCAAAAAAGGGCAGTAAAGAAAAAGGGATTTAGATGAGTATCGGTTTGAAAGCAATTTTCTTTCAATGCTACCTATATCAACAATCCATTTCGATTTAGGTGAATTTTACTTTGTTCATGATTGAAAAATAGACTTTTCATTGTTCACTTGCTAACAAAATATCAAAATAATAATTTATATATTTATTTAGAATTTGGACGAACAAAAAAAGTCCTTAACAGGAGAAATCTTATAATCTAAAGAAAATTAAAAAAGAAATTAACTTATAAAAATATTATTATAAAACATGAAGAAATGAATTACTTCGACTCGGAGTGATCAATTTCTTCCTGTTTTTCACTGAAGAAAAAATTTATGTAATTCAAATAACCGATTAATTGACTATTATCAATTAAATATTTAATTGAATCAAATAATATTTATTAGAGCCAATTAAATGGTTCAATTCATATTTGCTTCAAATACTAAACTAATGGTTTGAATACCATTTAATTGACTCCAATAAATATTATTTGATTCAAGTAAATATTTAATTGATAATAGTCAATTAATCGGTTATTTCAATCAAATAGATTTTTTTTCTGTGTATAATAATTAAAAATCACCGAGCGATAAAATCATTATTTTATATTAAAATAATATTGTTACCTTAACTTCTTCAAAATTATTTTTATCCCTTTAATTCAATTATTATTTTCTAGAATTTTTTAACTAAAATTCTTCTTTAAATAAATTATTTTTTATAATTTTCGAAAAAGTTCTTTGAAAATTTTCAAATCCATTTGTTTACAATATTCAATTTTACGAAATTTTAATTATTCGGAAATTCATCAATTAAATATATCTTGGAAAATAAAAACTTTAAATAATTACAAAAAAATTCAATTAAACTCTTTCAAAAAAATTAATTCTACAGAATTGTTAGTTAAGTATGCAAAATTCATATTTTCAAAGATTTCAATTTGAAACATTTTCTAAATTCAATTATTTCTAAAAATTTACGCTCTAATGCTTTTAATATTCAATTAAAATCTAAAATTTTACATGAAATTCATTTTTAAATCGATTATTATTAGAAAATTCTATGAGAATTAAATTATTTAAATACAAAAATAAATAATTAATTGAATAATTGAATGTTTCTCAAAGTTGAATTTTCATAAAGAATTACATCAACAAATTTAAAAAAAATAATTGAAATCTTTCGACGAATTTTAATAGGATTTTTAAGAATAATTGAATTCTATTGAGAAAGTTAATTAAAATGGTACTGAAAATAATTGAAATTAGGCGATGAGTTATTTATTATTTATAAAAATAATTGAATTGTTAAGAATAATTGTATTATTTATGAAAATAATTGAAATTCTGCGATGAATTTTATTATTTATAAAAATAATGGAATTGTTAAGAATAATTGAATTATTTATGAAAATAATTGAAATACTGCGATGAATTTTATTATATAAAAAATAATTGAATTATGGCGAAGAATTTTATTACAAATTTATAAAAAATTTGTTTTTTTCAAAAAAATGTATGTAAATTATTTTTTAAATAATTTATTTCCTGTGAAATTTTTATTATTTTAGAAAATAATTTAATGTTCGTGTAGAATTTTATCAAAATTTTTTTAAATTAATTGAATTCTTTTGGGAAATTTTTTGAATTAATAGAATTAAAAATCATTAAATCAAGAAACATTTTTGAAATTTTGCTATAAATTTTATTAAAAATTTTGAAAATAATTGAATTTCGGAGAAGAATTTTGCTAGTTATAAAGATAATTCAAATGTTGACGAGAATTATTTTTGAAATTTTTGCAAATAATTGAATTTTTACAAAGAATTTTATTATTTTTAAAAATAATTGAAATTTTTACAAGAATTTTAAAAAAATTTTGTACATAATTGAATTTTTGCGAACATAATAATTTTATTACTTTTGAAAATAATTCATTAAAATTTCTAATTAAATTCATTAAAAATTAAAATTTTATTTTTATAAAATTTCAAATTAAATACTTTTGAAGTTCATTTATTTATTAAAATTATAAACATAACTCTTTTAAAATTGAATTAATTTTGAAATATGTAATAAATAAAATGATTCATTAAATAAAATTTTTAAGTAATAATTTTATGATAGTTCTTGAAGAATTAATTTATTTAAAAAGAAATTATTGTCAGAAATAGAAAAAATTGAAGGTTTTGTATTATAATTCGATATAATTTCATAGTTTTTATGAGGCAAACAAAAAATACAAAAAAATTCAGAATTTTCGTATGAATTCTAAAAATTTAATTTTTTCCACTACTTTTAATAAAAATTCCTGACTTTTCCCTGACCTGAACTAAAATAAAATTTACTTGATTCAAATAATCGATAACTTGTCTATTATGAAATAAATATTTACTTGAATCAAATAATTTTTATTTGAGTCAATTAAATATAGTTTAATTCATATTTGTTTCAAATTCTGAAATAATTTATTTAAATACAATTGATTTGATTTAAATACAATTTATTTGATTCAAGGAAATATTTACTCGCTATAATAGTCAATTAATCGATTATTTGACTCAAGTAAATTTATGTTTCCAATTTGTATCAACCCTGCTAATTAATAATTAATAATTAATAAACGAAAAGTAAAACTCACCTGCGATGTAGGTCGCAATTGAACTCCGTGAGGAATTTCATTACCCGATTCCTCATAGCTCGTGAAATTATCAGTGAAATTTACAACCGCCGGCTCGAGGTGTATCGTAAATGACGATTCACGCATATAGAGAACGTCCTCGCCAGCGTCTTCCTCATCTTCTTCGTTGTCATTGCTCAGCTCATCGCTATCGAAATCATTCGTTAATTCATCAAACTCGCTCGTCGATGGCGACGTTGAATTCAGCTCTGTAATGAAAAAGAGGAAAGAATAATAAAAAAAGAAGAAAATTCAAATTTATTGGCCGCTATTTGACTAAAGTATTTCTCCTACACATTTTAAAATACATATATACATATATAGAGAACTACTTCTATTCGAACGATAAAATTTTCAAACATTATGACTCCATAAACTTCTTATATGTAAACTTCAAGATAAAAATTTACTGTCTCTACAATTTTTCCCTGGCAATTTTACCAAGACTTTCAAAATATGGAAAATATTTAAATAAATGAATCTTATTAAATTTTCACTTCAATCTTTATTTTCTCTCTTTTTTTTTTTTTTTTTTTTTTGAAGATATATTTTCTTGGGAGCAGAATTTTTTCCTCTTCAAAATATTCTTTTTTACTTGCAAAATTCGAATATTTTAAATATTATCAATGTAAATATAGTAGTCAACTTCCCTGTCCTTTTTCTTTTATTTAATTTTCGAATAAGAATTATTTAAAATTTATTTACTGTTCTTTATAATATTATTAATTTTATAACAGAATCGAGACAATTATTATTGAATTTTGATGACGATATATTTATCGTCATTTTTATTTTCAAGAGTAATTTTTATTTTCACAAAGTAACAAAAATTATAACGAATAACAATAATGAATTGAAAACTAAATTGATTTGAACACTGAAAATTTGTTACAATAATTATAATTATACAACGACTGACCCGTCTATATTCGAAGACTGTTAGACTTGTACTGACTTGTCTTTACCTGCTCCCTTCAGGACTTTCCGCCGCCCCTTCCCTTTTTGGGGTTTTCCAGAAACCTTATCTCACTATCCATTGTTCTGGGCCATCGCAAATACAAAATTACAAACACACTACAAGGTCAGTTCGCGTCAGTAACAGTAATCAAAATTCATGTTCTCTATTCAAGGCTTCGTAGTCGATAATTAATTTTAAAAAAAGTAGCAAATAGAATTTTTTAAACTGGATTCTTACTATTATATTATTTCTATTATTATTATTTTAATTTTTACTACTAATTTAGTAATAATTAATTTACTATTAATTATTATTTTTTTTGGTAATATTTTCTTACAATAAAATTTGAAACACTAATTTTACCCACCAATTTTTGATCACTCCACTAAATGTCGGACAAATTAATTTTTCGCCATTTTTATTTCTCTTCTCTTGAAAGTAGAAGGGTGATGGTGACGTAAAGAAGAAACTGAGCAGCTTTTTTTTGAAAAGCTGTTCACTATAAAAGGAGATAAGGACCTTTTATTGTTCCCATTGTTCGACTAGATTGTGGGGTTCGAAGAAGGAACAGCTATATATACATTATTCGTGAAAACCCTTAGACATACAACCGGCTTAAAAATACAATACGTTCGGATTAGTTGTTTCTTTATTGATGCGAATAAATAAAAAAAAAGAAGAGAGAAAAAAAATTTACAACTAAACGTTAAATTACAATCAAAATTATTACGCGGAAAATTATTTTCCTTTTTTTTTCTTTTCTATTTTGAAATTCCAATATATTTTCTATATTTTAATTTTTTATACATTTTTTTTATATTTCAATTTTCTAAACTTTTTCTTTTTTATCTTCTAATTTCCTAGGCATTTTATTTATTTATTTTTTAAATGTAAATTAAAAAATTTTTGAAAAATTTTAATTTAAATGTAAATTAAAAAATTTTAAATTTGAAAATTTTTAATTTAAATTAAATTCAAATGCAAAAGTTTTAAAAGTAGAAAAAATCTTATGAAATAAAAATTTGATTAGACTGGAGAAAAAAATAGTTTAACGGAAAAGAAAAATTTTGTGATTAGTAAAAAAAGGAAAAAAAAAATTTCCCGAGCGATATTAAAAATATAAATTCTCTCCTGGAGCATTGAAAAACTGGGCAATAAACAGAGAAACGAAAATAATATTTTCTTCACGTGTGAGACAGTTGAAAATATACAGGCATTGTGGGATGCGAAAAGAATATTTTTACCCGTCTTTTTTTTTTGAAAAGTCGCCACGAAACGACTTATATTTTAGTTGTGGGAAAAATCAATTGCGGAAAAGTGAAGGTTCGTGAGGTGAATTTCACCCTTTTTTTCTAATATCAATAAAATTATTGCATTCCTATTATACAAGTCGAGACAAAATACAAATTGTAAAAACAAATTATAAAATCAAATCGAGACAAAACAAAAATTGCAAAAACAAATTGTAGAAACAAATAAATTGTAGAAACAAATTGTAAAAACAAATTGTAGAAACAAATTTATTGTAAAAACAAATTGTAAATAAAATTGTTAAAAACAATTTGTAAAGCAAAAAAAAAAAAAACAAATAAATAAAAACAAATAAAAATAAACAGTAAATTAAATTACACAAATAATTTATAAAAATAAATTGTAAAACAATTGTTAAAAATAAATTTAAAAAAAATTTCTAAAAAAAAATTGTAAAACAATATTGTTAAAAATAGATTGTAGAACAATTTTTAAAAATAAATTGTAAAACAATTTTTAAAAATAAATTGTGAAACATTTTTTAAAAATAAATTGTAAAACAATTGTTAAAAATAAATTGTAAAACAATTTTTAAAACAACATTGTACCTAAAAAAATAAAAAAAAAATGTCGAAAAAAAAATTTTAAAACAATATTGTTAAAAATAAATTGTAAAACAATTGTTGAAAATTAATTGCACAAACAATTGTTAAAAATAAATTGTAAAACAATTTTTAAATATAAATTGTAAAACAATTGTTAAAAACAAATTGTAAAACAATTTTTAAAAATAAATTGCACAAACAATTGTTAAAAATAAATTGTAAAACATTTGTTAAAAATAAATTATAAAATGTTGAAAATAAATTGTAAAACAATTGTTGAAAATTAATTGCACAAACAATTGTTAAAAATAAATTGTAAAACAATTTTTAAATATAAATTGTAAAACAATTGTTAAAAATAAATTGTAAAACAATTTTTAAAAATAAATTGCACAAACAATTGTTAAAAATAAATTGTAAAACATTTGTTAAAAATAAATTATAAAATGTTGAAAATAAATTGTAAAACAATTGTTAAAAATAAATTATAAAATGTTGAAAATAAATTGTAAAACAATTGTTCAAAATAAATTGTAAAAAAATTGTTAAAAGAACATTGCACCAACAAAAAATAAAAAAAAAAAATTATAATTTACCTGGAAAAAAGGTCATGTAATAATTTGAAAAATAGTTATATTCGTAATAGAATAGTTTTTTAACGGTTATTTCACGATTCTCGTGAAATCAGTCGGGGAAAAGGGACTTTTTTTTTAGTTATATAGCTTGATATTGTTGCGGAAGAGTTTTGAAATGGCCTTTTCACTGTGTCCTGTTATTTTGAAGACGAAAACTTGAACAATAAATTTTTCTTAACTCGAATCCACCGAGGCAGCAAAAGGAGGTGGGGGGACGGCTATAAGATGGGCAAAAATAAAGAGAACTGGGAAATCTAGATAGCAAAAGGTCGTGCCAAGGGAAAGAAAAAGTTCTCAAGTCATTTTGTGACGATGCTGTCCAAAACTTGTAAATTCACATATATATAATGTCCAATTTTTCTTTAGCAAAAATAATAAAAATTATTTTACGAAAAAATATTTATCAACAATTCCATAATCTTCTTCATTATACATAGGCAGAATAAATTTTCGATTTAAACAATAAATTGCTTGAGTATCTAATTAATTAATATTTTAGCAAATGTTTTAATTAGCAAAAATTTTTTTTAACCAAATATTTTAATTAACAAATATTTTATTTAGCAAAAGTTTTTTTAACCAAAATATTTTAATTAACAAATATTTTATTTAACAAATATTTTAATTAGAAAAAGTTTAATTTACCATATATTTTCATTACTAAGTATTTTAATTGACAAATATTTTATTCAGTAAATACTTTCAATAGCAAAAGTTTCATTTACAAAGCATTTTAATTAACAAATATTTTGACCACAAATTTTAATTAATAAATGTTACATTCACGAAATATTTCTATTAACAAATATTTTAATTACCAAACATTTTAACTACTTCGTATTTTAATTACTGAATTTTTGATTTATTAACCACAAATTTTAATAAAAAAAATTTAATTTTTCAAATATTTTAAAAGCAAACATTTTGTTATTAAATAATTTAATTAACAAATGTTTTCTTTACTGCAAATTTTAATTAATAAATGTTTTATTTACAAAATATTGCAATTAACAAATATTTTATTTACTACAAATTTTAATTAATAAATGTTTTATTTACAAAATATTGCAATTAACAAATATTTTATTTACTACAAATTTTAATTAATAAATGTTTTATTTATCAAATATTTAAATTAACAAATATTCTATTATAAATAAAAAAAAAATAATTTTAATAACCACATATTTTAATTAAAAAAAAATTGATTTTCCGAATAATTACTGAATCGATACATATAAATATTTATTTAATACAAATAATTTCTATTGTTGAATTCAAATGAACTTTTTTACAGTTGTGAGAAAATAGTACCGAATAATTTTCGAATGAAAAGCAGAGTTCAAAAATTTTTATCACAAAAAATTTAGAAGCGAAAAATTAAGCAATTTAAACTTTTAGCAACAATTAAAAAGGAAATCTATTGTATGTGGAGTGACGAAAAATTATTCCAGAACGCAGAGACAGAGAATAATGAAATTTAATTAATAAAGGCATTTTTTTCAAGAGAACAATAAAAAGTATAATTCGGAAAAAAAATTTTTAAAATAAAAATGTCCTTCACTTGATCAAAAAAACAAGAGGGACCAGAAAAAAAAGAGAAATCCTCAAGAGTATTACACACGTGAAACGAGACAAAAGAATTATTATACAAACAAAAACTAATTTTCAAGGGAAAAAAAATATATATTACTTTTTCTCAAAAAAAAAAAAAAAATAAGTGAAAAAGAGTTTTATAAAAAAATAGGACCGGAAGGAAA